AAGAGGAGGGAGCTCATCAAGGTGGCTCTGATGTCCAAGGCGTTCCCACGGCAGCGACCTCAAGGATGCCTACGCGATGATCATGGACCTGGCTGGACGCAGACGGCCACGGTAGTGAAGAAGTTGCTGGCTCAGCATGGGAACCTGACGAAGGCGTGGCAAGCCTTTCTTGAGCAGGCCGAGCGTGAGTGGATAGATGTCTACCAGATCTCGGGCACCACATCGAAGTATTGCGGCAGAGGACGTGAGCTCCAAGTACGACGCGTACGTGACCTGCCAGTGTCCTGTGCGAGATGGCCGCCAGTCTCGGCCGAGGCGACCTGGCTCTTCCGCGTGGCGAATGAGTTGCTGGCGGCCGCAGAGGTGGAGCAGCCCCTCGCACGACTTCAGGCTCTTCGAGGTATGAGCAGGCTGGTGGCAAAGGCGCCCAAGCTCGTCCAGGAGAGGCACATGGGAGCTGGGCTGGCTGACCAGTGCCCAGAAGCCGCTCCAGTGGCGAGCCTGTGGTGGCATGCGCTCAGCAGCTTGCGCATCAGTCATGCGTGCACGGACGTGCTGAGGATGCTGAGCGCTGGCGCCAAGCAGGCGGCCTCCGACCTGGCGGATCACGCCATGGCCGGGCGCGGCACCAAGTTCGAGGCCTGGATCGAGGAGCAGTCGCTCGGCGGAGGTGGCGGCCTCCATGCCATCACGAAGGTTCCCAACGGGTTTGACACCAGCCCCGCGAAGCAGCAGGAGCTGCACGTGCCTACCGACCTGGCGGGCGAGATCAGCGAGCTGGAGAAGGAGTGGCGGCGCTGGTGGCGGTGCAATCTTCATCAAGTCCCCGCGCGCTGGCCTCAGGATCTCGGGGAGCGACCGCCCGAGCCGTCCGTCGAGGAGCTGCGGGAGACGCTCAGGACCCTTCCCGTGCTGACGGGCACGTCCTTCGACGCGATCAGCCCGCGGCAGTTCTTGGAGTTGGACTATGCAGGCCTTGAACTCTTGGCAGAGATTGTTTCGGCTATCGAGAAGGAGGCAACTTGGCCCAGCTTGACGACAAAGATTTGCTTCATCCAAAAGAGACTAGGCGGGGCACGCCCCATTGCCGTCATCATGGCGATTGCGAGAATCCAGGCGAGATTACGCAGAAGTGTGGCTCGACGGTGGGAAGCTCTGAATGACAGGCCGTATTGGTGGGCGGCCAAAGGCAGGGCGTGTGATCGGGCAGCGCGGCATCAAACAGCATTCGCAGAGTGGGCCACAGCGAAGGGCGAGGAGCGCGGCGACTCCTCGAGGCGGTGTGCGCTGGCCATCCTCCTCGACCTTCTGAAGGCGCACGAGCAGATCAGACATCACTGGCTACTTGAGGCTGCGATAGACACAGGGTACCCACTGTGGCAGCTTAAATTATCCTTGGAATTATATCGTGCACCGAGGGTTCTCAGCTTGGGCAGGGCGTTGTCAAGTACGATACTCTCGGAACAGTCCGTGCTCCCTGGAGATGGTTTCGCCGCCACGATGCTCAAGCTGCTGCTCATCAAGCCATTGGACCTGCTGGTGACCTACCACCCAACGCTTCAGCTTGCGGTCGTGGTCGACGACATCATGGTGCACCGCGTGGGCGGTATGATCAGAATCACTAGAGAAGTGGCTGATGCGGCGTTCAGGCTCCAGACGCTCCTGGAGGCAGCGGACGTGAAGATAGCGGTCTCGAAGTCCAGGGTGCTCAGCAATCTGCCTACGGCACGTCATGAGGTGGCGGCTAGGCTGAGCAGGTCTCTCGGAGTTAAGTCAGTTGCCAAGGAGAGGAACCTGGGCATTGACTTTGCCCGTGGACGGCGTGTACCTCGAGCTGTGCGGAGAGAGAAGCTAGTTGCTGCGGGTCTTCGGCTTAGACGGGCTTGGCTGCTTAAAAGTAGAAAGGGGCGCAGAATGGCTGCACGGAAGGTCGCACGCAGTGGCTTGGAAGCGTCGGCCAGCTACGGGCTGAACGTGACGGGCTGCGCGACCGAGGAGCTCAGCAAGATCAGGAGCCTCGTCTTCACGGCGGTGGCACCTTCATCAGCTGGCCGCTCCAGGACCCTCACTTTGATGCTGGCGAAAGGATTGGACCCAATGATAAGAGCTACAGAAGGACCAGTGCTTACTCTACTAAGGGCGACCTGGGAGCGGTGGATTCCTCGGCACGTTGTGGAGTACTGCCTTAACCGCAGCCAGGCGGAGCACTGGAGCCAAGTCAAGGGGCCCTTCTCAGCTGTCAAGATGACTTTGGCTCGGGTGGGCTGGAAGGTGATCGAGGCTGATGTCTGGCAGACCCACGAAGGTGACGAGGTCAAGGTCTTCGAGGTGGCTCACTGGACGGTCAAGCGGCTTCTGGCGCGAGCGATAGAGGCATGGCAGTGGAGAGAGGTTGGCAAGCAGGCCGAACATGGGCACTTGACTGGAGGTGGTGTGCTGGAACCTCTGGTACGCCTCACCAACAAAGGGACGGTGAAGCTGCAGGGCTTGTTCGGCAAGCAGGGCGCGCCGACGACCTCCGTGGCCAAGACGAAGCCGTACCACGTGGTGGAAACCTCTAACATTGGCCAGAGCGAGGCGGAGCAGGTTGTCACGCTGGTTGGTGAAGGTCGACCTGAGCGAGATGTTCAGCAGCCCGTGCGCCTCGCCGATGGAGTCATGGCCCCTCCGATAGCTGGGCAACCACCAGGCTATCAGATGGGTACTGCACTCACTGCGGCAGCTCTTGTGGATGCCAGGCGGGAGTCTGGATGGTCTGAGCTGTTCAGCAGTGTGTTCGGTGAGGTGTGTCTTGACTCTGAACTTGATGGTGGAGCACCTGGGCTGTCAGAAGAAGAGCCACCAGCAGGCGATCAAGCTGCACGTGCGATCGAGGTCAGTGACAGCCGAGCTGGTGGAGTGTCTAGTGTCAAGGCTACGAAAGCTATTCGCCGCACGCCGCGGGAGCGCGGCTACCTTGAGTCCCTGATTCAGGGTGGACAGTGGTCTCAGAGCAGGAAGTACGAGTGCGGGTACGCGGCGGACCCTATGTGTCTCAAGTGCGGTCAGTTCGGGTCACTACTGCATCGGCATTGTGAATGCGTTGGCTGGCCTCCTGAGCTGAAGTTACCGAAACAGATCGCGGAACTAGATGTGCAGGCGGCGGATGGCCCCACCCGAGTGTTTCTTGAGCGGTGCTTGGCGCCGTACCTGCAGCACATTGTGAGGCCCGCTCGAGATGATCGAGTTTGCTGGCTTGGTGATAATGCACAGGGTTGGCTTCCTGCGGGCACGCTGTACTTGGCCGGCTCCGCCTACGAAGGGGAGTACGAGAGGTACACCTCGGTCGGCTGGGCTGTCATTGCGCTGAAGGAGAACTCCCACGAGCTCGACGTCGGGATCTCGGGGGTCTTGGACGCGCCTTTCGTCGACATCAACGGAGGTGAGCTGACGGCCTTGCTGCACCTGCTCAAGTACACGATGCCGCCCGCGAAGGCCGTCACCGACAGCGCCTTCGTGGTCAAGGGACTCTTGGAGTACGGGCAGCAGCGGACGACGAGCTTCGGATTCGCCTGGGCAGACCTGTGGCAGCAGGTCTGGCGCTTGTTGGATGAGTTTGGAGGCCTCGGCGAGCAGGAGCTCACAGTCGTCAAGATAGCAGCCCACGTTCCCAGGAAGTACATGCACAGCAGTGGCCTCGCCTACCGCGACTGGCTCGGCAACAAGTACGCGGACAGGGCGGCCAAGAGCGCAGCGGCATCGGCGCGCATGAGGACAGGGACTTGCTCAAGAAGGTGCACGAGCGTGTCGAGGGCGTAGCGATGTGGGTGGCCGCGGTTGGCTCCAGCATGGGCGGCGAGGACACCACGCACAGGAAGGCCAAGCCGAACCGCCCAGCGCCCAAGGCTCAGAAGAGAATGGTTGCAGCGCGCTTGGAGTGTGACCTTCGGGGGCCTCCTGGACACCAGTGGTGTACGAGGTGCAGGTGGTCTCGCAGGCAGTCGGAGTGCCCAGGGGACATCACCACCCCCGTCCTCGAGATCAACGACCAGCTCCTGAAGAAGCATGTGCTGGTGAAGCTGTGGACGGAGAAAGAGGCGGACCTCACGAAGGATACGCCATTCATTATGTGTATGGCTTGTGGCACGGTGGCAACGTGCAGGCCTTCGACTTTCAACAAGGAGTGTGGGCACGCTGGCCCGAAGGGCAAGCTCGCGCTTGCAAGGCTGGCGAAAGGTATGGCCCCAGCTGTTTCTGCGAGAGTGCCAGTGAGGATCACTCGACTGGAGCCAGAGACGTGTGAGCCAGATGCTGGTGGACCTGGAGTGCCTGGCGATGGTGGCATCGGCATGGCCGCAGCTGGCGTGCGCGCAGGCCCCGCTAGCAGGCCCCCCCAGAGCGCCCCTGGGAGTGAGCCGGGCGCTAGCGGGGCCGAACGCCTGGGGAGCTGGGCAGCCCCAGCGGGTCCGCCCCCCGAGAGCGCCCCTCGGGGCGAGGCTGGGGCCCGCTGGGAAGCGGACGCCGAGGCTGGAGCGCGCGCTGGCCCCGCTCACATGCCCCCCCAGAGCGCCCCTGGGAATGAGACGGGCGCGAGCGGGGCCGAGCGCCAGGCGGGCGCCGCCGCCCCAGACTACTAGATAACCCACCTTGGCATCCACCAGAAAATCCCCATGTCCCCGCAGCAATCCCCGCGCCGATCCCAGCAGAATGCTCGACCCCCTCCCTGGAGGTGGCTTGCCGTCCCAGACCCACGTCGAACGGCCCCTGGGCCCGAAAGCAGACCCGGGAACTGCAGGTTTCTGGCTCCGCCTCTCGGCGGCATCAAGGGTCGAGGATCGAGGATCGCGGCTCGAGGATCGAGGATCGCGGCTCGAGGATCGAGGGTCGAGGAAGACGAGGAGGAGGATCGAGGAATGAGGATCGAGGATCGAGCAAGGCCCGCCAGAGGTCTCCGGCTGCTGGGGCGAGGGACCGGTGCCAGCGCCGCGGCAGTCGGAGACACCCCCCCCCAGGGGGGCGTCCTCGAAAGACACCTGGCCCGCGACGTGCGAGTCGACCTCCTTGAGCAGTTCGGCCACCTCCGCCGCCGTCGCAGCCGTCGGCACCGCCGTGGGGAGCCTCGAACCAAACACAACGACTGCGGCGCCGAGAGAACGGTGCCCAACAGCAGCCAGCACCGAGGAGCGCTCGAGGGCCGAGGCCTTCCAGGGCCGAGGCCTTCGGGCGCCCTCCGGCGCCCTCCTGGGCACGGCCGGACCCGCCTGGGAGCTCCAATCAGGACGCGCCCCGGGACAGGTCGCCGTCGTCGCACCACAACTTGTCGTCGTCGTCGTCGGCGTCGGCGTCGTCGGCGTCGGCGACGTCGGCGGCGGCGGCGTCGGCGTCGTCTTCTTCGTCGCCTCGCCTCGCCTCGCGGCCGCTGCCGCACGGCAGCGGCGGCGGCGGCGGCGGCTGCGGCGACGAGGGGCGCAGCGGGGAAGGTCGGTCCGCCGCACCACAATTTGTCCTCAATCTCGGCCCCTGGGAGCACGTTTCGGGCCCCAAGGCCGTCCGAGATCAGTACGGAGTGAAGGGCGGGCCAAGATGGAACCCTGGAGGGCTCTGGGGACTTCCGGCCTTCTGTTGCAGGACATGCGCTTGTATATTATGATGCTGGGCTTGTCGACCACTGCCGTCCACCAAATCGCGATGGTTCTTCCAATATTCCCCAGACTCATCTACAGTCGGACCTCGGCCAGGAGAACATCCCCCAGAACATGAGACCCTCCGCCGGCCAAGACAAGCAAAACATCCAGTGGTACCATCCCCAGGATGCGCAAAAGCATCCAACAGACACGAAGAACAGCAGGGCGCCTTCCCCGAACCGACCTCAGGAGGAGGAGGAGGAGGAGGAGGAGGAGGAGGAGCAGGAGGAGGAGGACCCGGAGGAAGAGGAGGAGGAGGAAGAGGAGGAGGAGGAGGAGGAGGAGGAGGAGGAGGAGAGGAGCAGGAGGAGGAGGAGGAGGAGGAGGAGAAGGAGGAGGAGGAGAAAAAGGAGGAAGAGGAGGAGGAGGAGGAGGAGGAGGAGGAGGGGGAGGGAGGAGGAGGAGGAGGAGGAGCAGGGGGAGGGAGGAGGAGGAGGAGGAGGAGGAGTCGGGAGTCGGGAGTGCCAGGACGAAGTCCAGATGAGTGCGGGGCCAGACCACCGCCACTAAGGCCCCTTATGGGCTCCAGTCTTCCTCTCGAGCTCGGCCTTACTGTAGGCCTTGGGGAAAAGCCCCCGCTCGATTCGGGAAAGATATACGGCACGGGTATCGGTCACCACATTGGGGCACAACTTACCCAGGCCTAACAATTGTTGATCCCCGTACATCCCACATGTGGCGCAGAACCAGACCCCTAGGTCCTGGTGGAGGCGCAGCATGTGGGAGGGGTGGGTCCACCCCCCAGCAATGTGCAACCTCGCCCCAGCTGGGAGTCCTCTAAGGGAGCCATCAATAGACACTAAGCGGAAACACTGGGAACCTCTCCAAGATCTAGCAAGCGAGATTGACGCGGACCCACGGCACCGACGGCACCTGCGGCCTGTATCATCCAAGGCGTGGCTAGACTCGAAAAACGACACAGTGTCAGCTGACGGTGGCGGCGGGGGTGTGGGAGCGGGGGCCACAGGGTCGGGGGAGAGGGCGGATCCTCCACCAGTGCTCACGCCGACCGCGGGGCCACTGGGGCCCGTGCCTCCCCGCCGCCTAAATCTACCTACCTGAAAACCATCACTCAGAAGCTTTTCCTCGGCGGCCATCGCGTCAAGCGATGATCGGAGGATTCGCATTCTGATCCAGAAAACTTCTTGCTCAAGAACCTGGATCGGGGTGCGGACGCTGGCGGGCAAACGAGCGCGGTCAGCGCCATAACAAGCCAGGACGTCCGCGAAAACGTTGCCATGCACGAGCCATCGTTCGGCTTTGCCAGCAACAATATCTGTAGCTTGCATATGACTGTGGGTGAAAAGGACTACGACGTGGCCCCGCTCGCGAGTCTTCATGACCTCGCCGATCTGGGCCCATAAATCACTGTTCTCACCCTGAGGCTGGCGGTCACGGGCCGCATGCCAGCCATCAAAAACAGCTTTGTTGTCTGTCACGTAGACAAGGAAATCAGATGCCCACCGAAGGGCACAAAAGAAAGTGAACAACTCGCCACGAGGGACCGTCTGTTCGGGCCCTGGCAGAATCCCTGACAGCGCGCTCGAGAGGACCATCGAGGACTCGTCATCGAACTGAGCCAAGCCGACGCCAACGCGCCTGAACAGCGGGCTGGAGGAGTCGGCACCCCCGCTGGCGTCCCCGAACAGGAGAATGGGGCGAGCGGCTGAACCTGGGCCGAACCCCTCCACCAGCACGTCATCGCGGGAGCCCCACCAGCTCTCGTCCGTCGGCGGCGGCGGCACCTGCATGCGCCCAGCTGGTAGCAACCCGCGCAGCCACAGCGCCTCCTCGGCCTCATGTTGGGCACGCGCCCGTGGGTAGAGGAAATCCGACTGGGTGTAGGCCTCCTCCCCGCAGTTGGCCTCGCAGCCCCAGATGCGGTGGAAGAGGGTCTCTGGCGCGCGCTTGCAGCGAACGCAGGTCGGGTCGATCGTGACCCGACGCGCCGCCTCCGCCCGCCGCTGCCTTGGCCAACTGCCGCCCGCGGCGACGGAGACCAGGAGCTCCGCCAAGCGACGCCCGCTCGGCGCCTGCTCCAGCTGGCGGAGCAGCTGCCGCATGGAGGTGAGCTCTGCGCCGCCGCCGAGGCCGCTCCCGCCGAAGTGCCGCTCCGCCTGCTGCCAGAGGAGAGCCTCGGAGGCGCGGTCGAAGTCCACGAAAAACTGCTTGAACCCGTTGAGCGCCATGGTATCCGAGTAGCACTCCTCGGGGAAACGCCATTCAGTGCCGTCGGCCATGACCCACAAGGTGGGCGTCTTGGGGTCCCACTGCCGCTCCAGCAGGTACAGTATCACCGCAGACATGGGACCCCGAACGTGTCTGGAACGCCGGCCTGCAGGAACCGAACGGAGGCGACTGACCACCGACTGCCAGACACGATGAACGCCGCCTCGAATGCGTGGGGTGGTAAACCACTGCTTCAGCCAGTATTCCAAGCACTCGTGGGGAAGCTTGATGCCTGGGTCCTGCAGCGGCTCCTTGATGGCCATGAGGGTGGTCTTGCATAAGCCACGACCTCCGCCGCTCAAGACGGCGGCCAAACTCCTTCTGAAATACTCCATGTGAGTGCCGAACGTGCCGAAGATCTGATGCCCGTAGTTGCCAGCGGCAGCGGCGCTGGTGCGCTCAAGCCTGCTCGTGACGATGAAAGTCCTGGCAGCTCTGGCGTAGCGGCGGATCTTGGAATGAAGCTTCGCATGCTTGGCAACTCTCTTGCGACGGCTCTGTCTGGCGTGGCGTGTGCCGCCACCCTGATCAATGCCAAGGAAAGGGGCCTGACGAACTGCACGCACCATGAACCCACGAGCTCGCAAACGGCGGGAGATCTCAACCGCATCGCCGTGGACCGAACACACGATGACTGACTTGGGCGAGACGTCCAGCTTCCACTTGGCCATCTCGTCGCACGTGTCTGCCAAGCATGCCGTGACCTTGGCGCGGAGGTGGCTGCTGGGTCCAATCATGCGCTGGGATAGGTCGTCCACCCAAATCCTGTGACTAAACGAGACATGGACTGTGGAAATCTTCGCGAGCACAAAATGAACCATACATTTAGCAAATCGAGTGCCTCCTCGGAGGCCCTGAATGATGGAGTGCTCGACGGTGAAGGGGTCGCACACTGTGCCAAATTGTTCCAGCGTGCGTGGAGCCATGCACTGGGCGACCTCGAGAAAGAGCACCGCGGGGGGGTATCCTAAGCGCAAAGCCGCGCCTAGGAGTAGGTCCCACTGGATGGCGTCGTAGAAACCCTTCACGTCCAGCATGCCGTGGGCCGAGGCGAGCTTCATGGCAGCGGCCACCTCGTCCCCCAGCGTGCGGAAGAAAGCCTCCTGGAGAGAGGCGTTGCCCAGGACGGCTGCGTCCCAGCCCTCCTCGGCGACGCTGGCCCATTCCCGCACGTGCACCTCGCGCACGAGAGACCAGAGCCTACCCATGAGGGATGTCAAACCAATGATTCTGTCCCCTTCGGTCTTCTTCGGAAGAAGCTTCCCGATGATCAGTTGCGTCTGCTGTGGCCAGACCAGCGCCGCCTCCAGGTAGTTGAAGAGGGCCGCCAACTCGCCCAGCCCAGCAGCTGGGACACGCTCGATGTCCGCGGGGGATAGACGGTCGCAGCCCATCCCCGTCCTGCACTTCATGCGCCTGGCGGCGGCGTGCACCTCAGCACCTGTGATGGGTGGGAGGGGCTCGTCGCGCGCCGCCACTCGCACCTCATCGACGACCGCCTCCAGAGCCTGAGGGTCGTGAGGATGGGCGTTCCAGATGGCCTTCCACTGGCGCGCCTTGGCGTCGAGGATGTCCATAGGGTGCACTAGGGTCGAGCTGCCAACGACGATCTCCTGGCGGGGGAGGGCGTCCTCGCGCAGCGAGCGGTGCACCGCGCCGCTGGCCTTGGGGTCGGTGAGCCACGCCTTGAAGTCGCTGAGAGACTCCCTGATGGCGCGACGGTGGGCCCTCTGCTCGATGCGCCCTGCAAGACCCTGGAAGGCCTCCAGCACGCGGGCCGTGCAGCCACCGACGTTCAGCAAGAGACCGATCCACTCGTCAAACTTGGGCTCGTCGGCCCTGAGCAAACTGGCTACACCTTCGGGTAGGTCGCTCGTAAGATGCTGGCAGGCACGATGTAACTGGACCAGCTGCTTCACTCCGTTGTCACGACCGAGATGACGTACAGTCTGAAGTAATATGGATGAGACTCTCTTCCACCAAGCTGTCACTTGATCCCTGAGTGGGACCTCGCGCTGCCGACCACTGTGGCTAACGGGCTCGATCACGAAACTGCAGCCCGCAGCCCTGCGCGTGCCGACAACGGCGGACAACTGATGGTGCGAGAGAATGGCCTGCTCGAGAGTGGAAACCCACTGGCCGTACCACAAGCTCGCAAACTCCCT